GGCAGCAGTAAATCCAGGAGTCTGGACACCTAACACCTGCAACAAAAATCAGGATACACCATGAGATGAGTTATTAATATGTCTGTTTTTTAACCCTTTAAACACTTCAGTGATGGTCCTTTTATTGATTTATCCTGATAACAAATCTGTATTTAAATCCATGACTGCCATCTTTTACAGACAGGTCTTCCTGATGCCTCTAGGTAATGACAGTGCAGATTGATTATAGGCTAAATAAAATAGATGCAGGCTATAATCAACAGTGTTTGTGTACTGCTGCATTTACCCGGTTTTCCACTACAGCTTGACAGCGCTTCTCCAAAGTAATCTCTGTGACTCGTTGGGTGAACCCTCTAAGGCCAAGAGATGGAGGATACTCTGGACGAATAGTGGGGCTGGTGCTGAACTGCTGTTTTATTTTTCCAACAAGACGCAATTCGAAAGTCTTTCCTTCCTCGCTGTAATACTCTACAGAAATGAAAATTATAGACATTATAAAAGTAAAATGGAAAGAAAAGACAAGAAAGGTCACAGTGAGAGAAAATGTTTTTTTTCAGAAAGTGGGGAAAAACATCATCAACCATTTAACAACTTCTATGACTGCATCGGTATATGAAGGCAATTTGTTTTTTGTTCACAGAGCTCTCTTTTAAAATATTTAGGAGTGATATCTCAAAAAACATTTATGAACACTATGAGTCACCCAATAGAATAAAAATAATTTAGTTTAATATGAGGGATGTAAATGCAGAGCATCATTCATATTCATCAGTCATATTCTCTGATTCACAGCTAAAATAGTCAGATATAGTATCTCTTTACTTCTGAGCCCCACAAGGACCCGGCAAGAAAAAAAATCAAAAGCAGTTTACAGATCTGTGCACAGTTTACAACTCAGTGGGCACGGATTATACCCTTGCACACAGATTTGTGAACCGTGGGAATTAATTTTAAAAAGGATTCTGTTTCTTACCTGAGCCTTGTGGGGCTCCTTACCTTAACCTTCTTTGTAACAATAACAAACATTTTAGATTATTGTTCATGTGGGACCTATTACAGATTATTGTAATCTTCCTTGATGTCACATTGTTCTTCAGACAGACAATCTAATTAATTCTGAAATGTTTCAGTCAAAGCTCTCTTTTTCTGACTGTTATTCACATAGGCTGTTTTTACTCCCACAAGGTTGTAACAATAGCCTAATAGGATATTAATTATTGAAAGCAGGGAGGTTCGGTTTCTTGTTTTCCGCTCAGATAAGATACTACTAGTAAGCTTGTGGAATGAAGAGTAACCATCATGAATTGAGCCCAGATGAGCAGACTCACCTCTCCCTGCCAGGAAAACTTTCCTGCCATGATTGTCTTTCTTGAAGGCGGATAAGAGCCTCATTTCTGGTGACACTGCTGCGCTTTGAGTATCGGTAAACACAGACATACCACATATTGGATCTCTATTTTGGTTGACCCCTTTCTCGTCAAGGCTGCTGCTGGGCTGGCTCATCTTCATCAAGCCACACAAATCAGACCGTGAGCTTCTGAGCCTTTTGTTTACCCCCCGTTGCCTTGATACGACACGTATGAGGATGCTGTCACCCCGGCAACGGTGATGTATGAGTTTGTCACAACCTAATTTGTGGGTCTGGTTAGTTTACTTCTGCAATCACGCTGAGTTATCATCAAAATGGGTGGGGGCTGTGAAAATGAAAGGATCTGTTTTAGTAAAGAGCATATCCACATATGTTCACAAGCCTTTAACAATGACAACAAATCAGTTCAAGAGGACCCTCTGCTGAATTACATAGCCTTGGTAATCAATTTATAATCAATCACCATCCAACATACAGGTGCAGGGCAAGCGGTAGCATTTAATCATACACTGTTGTTTTGGGGGGTTACTTAGAGAGTAGAATTAAAGTGACCTGAAGGTATTTGTTTTGTCAAAAGTATTTCTTCCATGGGTATCACACAGGCTACATCTTTATTCAGAAAATTTAATTTTTAGACCTCCCAGAGATTTTAAAAATCTAAATTACCTCTCTATCTTGTGATGAAATAACCAAATGTGATGATGATCCAAATGTGTTTCTGGCTATTTAAAATGGGGCAGATTTGAATTCTGTTTGTTCCTACACCAGCAAAAAAGAGACATCCAGCTTCCCCACAGTGAAAGGCTCTGAAGAGGATATGCTATAACACAACACCGTAGTGATTGTGCATCAGACATCTTTGTCAAAGAGGTTTTTAGTAACTGGCAGAAAATGTAATAGCAGAAAGGGATAACCTACATTTGTAAAACTGTTCAAGAGAAAGAAATCTGTGAGCCTGGCAGGGTGGTTCTTTGTAATGAGGCTGGTAATCAAAAGTAAGTGCACTAGATGGCAGTAGATGGTTAGTATGTCAATTAGGTAAGCAGGTGTAATCTAAGGTAGTGCTTTAAAAAAAAACAAAAAAAACTAACTTCCCCAGCCTGGTTTCAGAGCCCCCCCCCCCCCAAGAAAAAAAACCCATAACAACCAAATATATAAAATAAATATATTTTAAATAAAAATACATGTAAGGTAAATTATCTGTCTTTGTATTTCGGGGTATTGAGACAGGATGTCATCAGAGAAATAGCTTTGCCTTTTAGTGAGACATTTTTCTTTGTGTGATTATGAAACATTAGGACAGAGTCGAGAGTCAGCCTCGATTTTTTCCGATTTACTTTTTTTCACATTTTCTTTCCCCTGCTCACACAGCATTGTGGCTGCAGTTAAATATCTGTGGGGTATCGGGTTATCTGTATTTGCCCAGCTGTCTGTGGGAATATTTCAAAGTGAGAGCTGAACAATATATTGAAACAGAAATTCATGGGTGCAAAGGTAGCAGCAAAACTTCTTATAATAAAGCCACTGTTGAGTGTTTAAATCAGTGCTGGTGGTCATGGAGAAAAAAAGACCTTTCTCTGGGATAGCTTTTATTACTAAATAAATGGTAAATGAGCTTGTATTGTGCTTTTCTAGTCTTCTGACTACTCAAAGCTCATTTACACTTCATGCCACAACTACCCATTTATACCCATTCATACACTGATGGAAGAGGTTGCTGTGTAAAGTAAGCATCAGAAATAACGAATCCCATTCATACACATGCATACGCTGCCAACGAAGCAATATGGGGTTAAGTGTCTTGCCTATAGTATATGTTGCTGCAGGAGCTTGGGATCAAACCCTCAACTTTCCAGCTGAGAGACAACGGACTCTACCAACTGAGCCACAAGCGCATCATAGGATGCATGATGACAGAGGAGACCCTTAGGTAAGGGCTTGATTCAGCCTAACATGTTGCCAAGTTGAAACCACAATTATTAATTTAATTAAGCTGTTTTTGACTCAATTTCATTTTTGGGATTTTAACTGGTGAGGCCTAAAGTCTAAGTTTGGCAACAAAGGACTTTAGTGTGTCTGAAATGTTCTGTGTTTTAAAAATTGAAACTATGCTATAACAGTGGCTCAAAAGAAGCTGATGGATTTAGCCAGTGTAAAAATGTGTAATTATAATAAATAATAATTCATTTTATCCAAGCAAACCTTTCAGGACACTCAAACTCTCCATAACGCAACAATAATAATAATAAAAACAGCACAACGATAGTGTGTAAGGAAAATGAAAAAAGGGAAAATGTGGAATATGTAACATTTCTTAATTTAGTCGTAATGGCGGAATCTAATTTTATTTGATTCTTCATCTTCAACCTAATTGCATACTAGTTGATTGTGTTGATTTGGATGAACAGTGTTAAACCAAGTTGTCAGTTGTATAAATGTCTTTTGGGGCCCTTTTCCTCATTATTTGTCTGATCAAAAGTCCCAGTGTTACCTCAAGTGGTAGAATTGATTTAATCCAGTTCAAACAAATGCATAGTTGGAATCAGATGGATCAGTGACATGATAACTGTCCTCACAGAGTTGTTGTGGCTTTTCTTTTCTAGTAATTTCAGTTGTCACAAAGCTCGCATGGCAGAGCTCATGCTGTTTTCAGTTTGTTTTGAAATGTCCTGCTTTCAGCTCTTAGTTTATTTATGCAACCTCTAAATTCTTCTCATTACACAAAATTGTTGTTTTGTCTGCTCAAACAGCAGCAGCGGAGCCAGGAATAATTTAGGTTTCAGTTGGGGGAGGAATACTTCAAATAAGGAACTTGGATTTGTCTGAAATTTAATATAGCACTACTATCAGCGTTATTTTACACTGATCAGTAGGCTACAACACAGTAGTGTGGGGCTTCTCAGTGTGGGAGTCGACACCCCACAGGGGCTCCGGTGATAAATTTGATGGCTCTTGTAGAAACATGTATCATTATTAAAGTTGAATTTTCTCCATTTCTTTTGAAAACAGGATAGTTCCACATGTCAAAATGTCTGTCTTCGATTAAGGTTTGTATCACTTGTGTTTTTGACCTCACTAAAGCTTCAAATCTGGAAATGATTGGTTGAAATTGAGTCCAGTAAATATATCTTAAATATCTATTTTGAAGAAGTGGGTTCTATTAGTGAAAACTCAGTTCATCAAGATTGTGAAATTACATGAAATTACTATCTTGAAGTCACACAGTCACTGTGTGGAACCCACACAGTGGGGAACGACAAACAGGAAAGGAGCCACAGGTCGGACCCGAACCCGGGCCACACTGCCCAGAGGACCACAGACTCCAACCTGTGGCTTCTTTCCTGTTTGTTGTTCCCCACTCTCTCTCCCAGATTTCCTCATATATCCACTTTCCTATATGGGGGGAAAGAAAGCCCAAAAAACACTATCTTTCCATTTTTAAAATGGCGAATCCAATTAATCCGTATTTGATTAGAAGAAGAATAATTGACTGCTTCTAAGTTGTGATTAACATTATTGCAGCCTTTCTTTAACTCTTAATTCCTCTTAGTGGGGACTTTGCACACAGAGCACACATGACCCAAATTACACAGATTTATGTTTTTATTTCTAAATGTAACAGATGATGAAATTTAGTCAAAAAAATTGCATTAGAAGGTGTTTCAATCTAACAAAATAATGAATGTTATGGGGGTGATGTTTCCTCCATGAAGTCCATTATTGTTACACATTTCAGTGGTAGACTTTCTTATGGGCTTGTCTATACCATGGCCACTCAGAGAATGTCAAAATGCTAGGGAGGTTATGGTAACATTTAGCAAGTTCCCTTTAGTTCTTAATACTGTACCTTGAAAAATGTTTTACACTGATGGTTTATTGTTGACAGGGATTATAAGAGTTTACCTGTTCTGGGATTTGAACAGTCGGCCAATCAGAATACACATTTTTTTTAGCCATGGTATAACAATTTAGGGTATTGTAAGAAAAACAGCTATCGTGGGAACACAAAATTCTGGCTCAAAACAGAAAGATTCAAGAATTCAAACTCATTATAATTGAATACTTGAATGTGTAGCCTTTTATTCACAGCACATATTAAACTGAAAAATTTGTGCCACAAGCAGTTTGGTTTCTGTTTGGACAGTGAAGGCAGCCTTGTCTTGTATTCAGTTAGACAATGTTTGTATTTTGCTACAAATTCAGTGTATCATAAATAGATAACTTATCAGATAATGAAAGTCATATTTCGAAAGTTGCACTACAATGCATTTCAACATGCATTAATGTATTGTCTTACTTGGGATGGAAGAGTCTTTTCAAAAAAGTATTTAGGCAACACACTTGGAGGTTGAACTTTTGTGTCACCTAGCATCCGTGCAGTGTCTATTCGTTCAGTTTCTGCGTCCACAGTGACACTTACAGTGTTCCTGTATGGACCAAATCAGCCGTTTCACTACAGTCAGTCCAGTTGTATCTTTAGGGGTGAAACTCTGTCAGGAGCAATGGTAGTACACTTCATTCGCTTGTCAGTGCTGTTTGGTCTCAGCCTTTTCCAGGAATCACAGTTACAGCTGGAGAAGATTGTTTCAGTAGCGCAACATTTTACAGTTCATCCGTCCTTCTCCTGCAATGTGAAGCTGAAAAGAGAGGAAGGTATTAATATGTAGGGCTTCTATTGACATGAACATTATTACGTCAAAACACATAGATAAATCTCACATTACCAAGTGTATTTAAAGTAAGGCCTAACCCATATGGGATTTTCTGGGGGGAATACCGACATCAATATTATAGAGAGAATAAATCTGATACCGATATGTTGGTCGATATCTTTCTTAGATCTTTCTTAGTAGCTATAAATAATATAGATATACATATTTATTGTGTTGATCCCTAAAATGCAGTTATCAAACACTTGGAAATGAAGACACGATGGTCACTCAACCGGAAAGTAACTGCGCATGTACGTGTATCCCTGCTTGACACTCTGGAGAGTGATAATGCCTGTTGTAATCCATATAGCACACTCTGCTGGTGAAAGAGAAATGCTAGTGTAGTCAAATAAAACTCAAATGAAATGCATTTGACTGGTGAATTAATCTAGTCATATCGGGGCATGCGATAAAATTAGCCGATACCGATAGTCACTTGATATGCTAATATCGGCCATTATTATCGTCTGACTGATTAATTGGTCGGGCTCCAATTTAAATAGTGTTTGGATAAGTGATTTTTTATGCTTATTACCTATGAGAGAAGGCAGAAAATACAATGACAGTATCCAACATTGATCCATTAGTACAGCTTTTGCTTTTTTAATCCTTCTCTGTTCAATCATTATAAAGATAGTTTGATATTTTAGTGTCATTGTTTTTGTAAAAGTGGAAAGCACCTGATACTGAAGTCAGCTCTGTCATTAAAAACCTCATTTATGTGCAACTCTGTGAGTATTGACTCTTTAAAATGAGCTTTTATTGAGTGAATAGTTAGCCTGGGTTGCTCAGGTTCTATGAGATGAAAAAGCTACAAGACAGTGACAACAACAGTGTGTCGTTTACCTATTTCCTTTTTAGTTCCTTTTTGCTTATTGAAAACAGAAAGTAATGCAAAGTAACCCTCGTCTATTAATACTTCATGATACTTCTTTTCTAACAAAACAGGAATTCTGATGCTATCACCTCCACTGAACATGTCTCCACAGGAAGACATAAACTACCTGGAACTGTAAGCTTCACAGAAATGTGAATGCATGTGGGGAGAAATATGCAGGAAACCATTAACAATGTGGCTTCAACAGAACTAACAAAGATTTCTGAGAGAGCTGGTTTTTACAGGGTCACAAACCTCCTCTGGTGCTTGATTCATGTTATATTTTGACCAAAGCACAGCACAGATGTTTCATTTAGACCACATGGGACTGTTTGAAAAGGTTGAAATGGTGTGTAATATGTCCTCTTAAAATCTAACATTCACACAGGAGTCATGATTTTAGTTGAATCACAAGCCAATTGGAGTGAAAGGATATGAATGCATAAGGGCTTGTGTCCACAGACAGCCCCCACAACCTCAGTTTCAGAGCGCTCAACATTGTTGCTAAGTTACATAGGTTAACTTATGCTTCCCTCCGTTGTGACAGTTAAGTCAATTTTAAAAGCTCTGTGTGCTTAATATTTTACTTAATTCAAGGAAATATCACCAACAACATCTTGTCCAGGCAGTAGCAACAGATTTACACCTGTACCCTCTAAAAGAAGAGAAGGATTAACTTCACCTGCGCCATTGTTGTTGACAAAGCTGTTATCAGAAGTCCTGCCCCTTCTTAACTCTGATTTATTTATTCATATCCTTTGTTATCACCAAACCAAGGGATGAGAATCCCATCAGCATCAGCGAGAGCACTAAGTCTGTCGCAATGTATGCTGTAGTCGAATCTTTTGTTTTGTTTAAACACACTGTAATCATTCATAACTTTCACCTTTAACATAATTCAAACTGGTCAATAATATGAAGGTTCAGACTACAGTTGTCATTAATAAAAAATAATTGAGACCAAAATGATTTGTTGTGTACCAATCTGAACATGTTTAGTACTGCTTTAAAGTTTGGCATTTTAATATGGGGACTAATGGAGATTGACTCGCTTATGGAATGAGCCTCAAGTGGTCCCTCAAGGAACTGCAGTTTTTGGCACTTTTGTGTTGGCTTTATGATTCAATTCCTGAGGTTGCTGCTTGATTGAGATGAACTGAGAGATGTTTACTATATTTCTCCACCCAGTGCAAAAAAGAATACATCATCCAGTGAATCAGTAAAAGGTTTCAAAAAATGACACCGCAAAATGTTTTTTTCAAATGGTTTGATGTTTCCAAACCTCTGAAATCAAACATGAAAATGTAAAGGTTATTTCAGTCATCCTTAATAGTGTGATTTCTATAGAAATAGAGTGTTAATTTTGTGAATAATAATCCTTTTGTTATAATACACAGACTTCATTGTAAATATTAGTTTTGTAGAATTGCTTTCAGCTGCTGTTGAACAACGAAAGTATACAACATAAACTAAAAATGCAACATAAACAATAAACTAAAACCCCTCTGTCTTTACCATGTTGAGTTGAACCGTGTTTTTTAAACCCCCACATGCCTTTGTTGAAGGAGTGTGCTTTAGTGTTATTGGTTCTGATATTAGCCAGGCTTGAAAGGTAGAGTTGAGGTTTCCCACAGGTCAATACTACCATGTTTTGATTTACTCTGCTTCTTGGTTCATGATATCTTACACTTGATCCTGCTCTAAGCTAACTAAAGGCACCTCATAGTATGGAGAAGGTAAAAAAAAACATTGCATAATTCAGGGCACATGGAAAACGAAAGATGTCCCACCATTCCATTTTAAAATCCTTTAAAATATCAGGATGCCTAAATACCAGTATTTGCCAAAAGCTCTGCAGTGCTTTAACTTATCACACCGACATTTAGGCTGCTTGAAATCACACTGAGCTAACGGAAGAACAAGCTTGTCAATCATAATATACTCTTAAGTTCTTAAACATATAACTAATTCTGCACAGAACATGCATTAGAGACGGCTGTTTACAGATTTTTGTAAATGTGTAGTGACCATTAATACACATTTTGCTCCAATATTAACTGCAGGCTGTATCTTCAAACTCAGACAGCAATAACACAGTGTCCATTAATACACTTTGGGAGGGTACAGCACGCCTGGGTGGCAAACACAATTATATCTAATGACACAGTTTGCAGAGTTACACACAGTTTTCTAAAAACAGAGATGTGTGCTTTATAAACACAGTGTCCTTTTAGATTTGTCCTCATGAAAGTCAAGTTATATGTCTGAAATATTTACATACTCATTGAGAGTAATGAGCCACTCATGCTGTCTAAGGTGGTCAGTATTTACACTGGAAATGGCATCCTCCACCATCGCTCTGTGCTTTGTCTCACATGCTGAGAATATGAACATAATATATCCTAATATTAGGAATGCACCACTGTATCGGTTGAACATCTGAATCAGGCGATACTTTCCCTGTAGATAGACGGCTCATCGGCAAATAATGTGGCATTCATGGACAAATGTGAAAGAAAATGTTGACTGTGTGGGAGTATAACGTTTGAGAAAGATCAGCAACATACTGTTGCCCTAGTAACAATGACAGAAGACCAGTGAATCCACCAATTTTCTGAGCTCATTTAAAAAATAGACAAAGAGCAAAAAGAAGTGATGAATCTCTCATCAAACCATCAGCTTAATACTTTTGCTGATAGTGCCTGTTTTTTCACATGATATCCTATTACTTTTTTAAAATCTTCAATAGTTTTTCTAGACTACATTTCATGACCATGCATGCCATGTTTTCAGTTATTAAGTAATTTCTCAGGCTCTTAGCAACATATTGTTTAGTCATTGCCTTCTTTGTGTTTCTTTAAACTTTAAAGACCAGTAAAGATGTTGCAAAAAACACATCTTCTGAAGAGTATGAGCTTTACAATATGATATGAGGCTCTCACACGGCTCCTGTGCTCTTGATCTGTGGGATATTTTATGTGTTAAAATCTTGTGTTCTTAATCATGGGGGGAAATGCGATAAACCTGATTAATATTAAAGTTTGAGAATATATCCCCTAAATTCCATACCTCCAATAAACATATCTGCATTAAATAGACATCCTTTTGAGCATTAAAGTTTCTGTTTTAATGACTAGAGAGATCCTAGCCAGTGACCATGAAATAAGAGTTCACAGTTACCCGGGGAGTCTATGAAAAACTGCATGTCATTGAGTGTTGTGCATACGTGACTAAAGCTGAAGGCTGCTGTATGTTGATAAGGGCAGCAGCGATATGCCTGCATGTATTTCTGGGAAAACAACAATACTATTGATGATGGCAATCCTGTGCAGTTCAGCGCAGTGCATAGCAGCACACTTTTCTTTAGCAATTGTCATGTCAATGGGATTGTTTCCCTTTTAAAACTGCTGTTGCATGCTGTCTCAGGCTATAAAAAAGTATGAAGCTCAATTTCTCTTGGGTGTTGCTAGGTTAAATAGAAATTGATAGTTAGGTGGAAAGACTAGGAGCACATGGTACTGTTGCTTTCAGATGCCTTTCGGGGCATTAATTAATCAAAAACTACCCAAGCTGTTCATATATGTACATATATATATATCCTATTCCTTTCTTTAACCTGAGCTGTGGCCCGGCCCGAGTTACTCCCAAACGGCTGGTCTCACTTATGATTGTTATCCTGCTCAAAGCTGAGGGTGAGTCCGTTAAACCTTTCCTTTGGGCTGATTTACTACAGAACACACCAGCCTCCTTTTAAGGAAGACTTTTATATGCTCCTACATGTTTCCCCTTTTACAGTCCCACTGATTTTGTCTGTTAAAATCCACTGAGAGGGTGTCATTTAAAGAGAAGAGAAATTATCAAGTGTAAAGTAAATATTTGAAATGAAACATCCCTGAGTCATAAAGCTCTTGGACTAAGAGGCCAGTTTTGCCACTTGTCCAATGAAACTGAAATCTGAATTCGTAATCTGAATCTAACACGAGTTTCAATTTTATGTTCTACAGATGAACTAGTCATTTTGTATTTGTATTTATAAATGGAAACCCAATGGATTGATTTTAACTGGAAGTTTGGAGTTCACACTGACATTTTTTCATGATAGAAATTCCTACATGCAGCCTACATTTTTTTTTTAAATATACTTTTGGTGTTCTCAAAACCTTCATATAGGAGATATTAATTTACATGGTTGTACATAATAGTTATTATACATTTTTAAAAATTGAATAATAATACTTATTAGGTAAAGTGTATTTTATGCCTAACATTGCTTTTAAAGCTGCACTGCTGTATTAACATCTGAAACTTATTATACAACAAACACAAAGCTTCCTGGAAATGAAAACTTGAAATCAAACTTTTGTCAAATTTGATATTCAACATTTTTTATAGTTTGTTAAAAAAAGGAACTTTGCAAAAAATGAAAGGAATTATTCATGGTATAATCCATACAGCCAGCATTTGCTAGATAATTATTGTTAAAAAATAATCTAGTGTCTTTGGTCAGCTGTTCATATTGAATGTTCACTGATTTTTAATCAGGGTTTTATGATTTTATGTCAATTGCCCTTATTGGTTATGATAGAATCATTGATACTGGGAGTTTTCATTTTCATGTTAACAGTTTGGATTTTCTTGATCTACTTGCTTCCCTCAATGTTACTCAGCATGTATACAATACCACACACATTGAGATACTCTGGATTTAGTTATTACAAAGGACATTGACATTGACAGTTCATCCATCACCAAAGTCCCTGTTACTGATCTGTTTCATCTTTATTATCACCACCCTTACTGTTTCAAATGAGACACATGGAACTGTTGTTGTGACACTAAACATGATGGTGTTATTGAGAAATTATCACATTTGGTAAATACTCTTCCTCCATCCACATCCAGGTCACTTAATGGCCTGTTAATCATTTTAATGACAATTTCCATAAAAATGTTTTTTGTCAAAATAAATTGTTAAAAAGCTGAGAGCTGTTGGAGGAAAAGCGACAACACATTATTTAAAACATTTTTAAGGATCAAGTTTTTATTTTCAATAATGCAGTCAGGAAATAGAGACAAGTCCACTTCTGTAAAATCATTTTAGAGCATTTAAAACAATCCCAAAGTTATTTAGTCCACCATTGACAGACTTTTAAATTCAATTTCAATAGGTTCTCATTGAACTCATCGCTTAAATGTGAAGAATTTGCTGACTTTTCTTTTTAACGATGAAAATTGTCTTTATTAGAAAATTATTTTAAATTGTACAGGTCATAGCACCTGGGTTCTCCCTGCCCTTGGGCTTCCGGTAATGTTGCCATGCCCTGTTTCGATGACTTAGCGCGATGAGGTTTTCCTAATGTGCAATGGATCTCAATCTAACCAAATTGTTTAAGATTTACTACAGGATACTCTCGCATGAAACAATAAGGATTAAAAACACCTCTCTAAGTCTAGGCATAATCCCCTCAGCTTTTTAGACCTCCATGGTAAAACTACAGCTTTACAGACTGGTTTCTAATCTACCCTTATTAGGTAAAATTTTTTGGAGAATTCTTTTTAATCAACGACTTGCTCATTTAATTAAACAGTACTTTAGACACTTCTGTCTGGCTATAGATCAAACCACAGCACAGAGACCACCCTGCTGAAAGGTGTAAACGACGTTAGGATGATTGTCGATGAAAAAAACAAAAAACAATGTGGCAGTCCTTCTTTTAGACCTCAGCACAGCATTCATCACAATCGGCCATGACATTTTTATCACCAGACCTGAGAAATGGGCGAGTCTCTCTAACCATTTTTTAGTCTGGTTCACTGCTTATTTATTTTTTACACACAGTTTTATGTCAGCCTCAGTGTGTGTCATAGACTCAGTCTTGGACCTATTTTATTTTCACTAGCAATATCCACAGCTAGACCAAAATGCTGCAGCCAGAATCCTACACGGGGGGGGGGGAACCACATAATTTCACTTTTAAGAAATCTGCACTTGCTCCCTGTTTGTTTTAGAACTGATTTTAAATGCATTCACTGGTTTTTAAAGCTTTACATGCTCAATATATCACTGGTCTTCTGTCATTGTTTTCCAGACAGATAAGAGGTCCTCAATTGCTTCCCTTTTGAATGTGTCTCACGTGTCCCACACAAGCACCAGTAAGAAAGCTTTTTGTTTTGTATTCCCTAAACTCTGTCACTCACTGCCCCTGGATATTAAAATGGAGAGCTCTTAAAAGTTTTTTAAAGGAAACTTAAGACACATCTTTTTAATCAGGCTCTTAATTCTGTGTAATTTTACAGCATTGTTCAATGTTTTAATCATTGTATAAATTTTATATCGCTGGTACTTTGTCTTATTTTTCTTTTCACTGATTTATTTGATTGATTATTACTATTTTAATATTTTTACAGTATAGATTTGATTACTTTTTAATTAAGAATTCTTATTTATGTTTTTTTTATATCGATCTAATACCCTCTTTCTTTTTTAATATTTTATAATTGTATCTAATAAAATGAATTTGTGTTGTTATTCCTGCCTGTTTGTTCTTTTGAAGCACTGTGGGCTGCATCTTTTCTGTATGAAAGGTGCTCTATAAATAAAGCTGAGTTCAGTTTACAAAAATAATAATGAAACCAAGAACTAAGCTGTCCAAACTCACTTAACCTGTGTAACAGAGGGTGATCTTATTGGCTGTCAGTGGTGTTAACAGCCTCTCAGTTCTGGGGGTAGTCTTGTACATTAGTGATAAAGACTTATCAGCTGCAGGGGGTGCTGGGCTGGGCACACTGAGGCCCACTGACAGGCACAGATACACACTAACATTTGGAAGCATCAGACATGCAACTGTCCCAAACAGCAGCCAACACTTATGACATGATTTATTTTCTGCACTGTTCCAATAAATATATTTACTTGTGGACTGACAACTGTAAAATAAACCAAATATGGATTTCTACTTTTAGGAATGTCATAATGGGAAGTAAAACTCAATTCCTATTATTATTATTATACAGACTATTTGCAACATCCTAAAAAGTGACTAGGATGAATAGATAATGTAAAAAGTGTGGTCCTGTTTATCATTGATGGTTGAATCATTGATGTATTAAAATGTACCTTTGAAGAAGCAAATAATTACTATGATTTACTAACTTGATAAATACATTTAAACAAAAAATCTTATTAAATGTGTTTAAACATATTTTTCGCAATTGTTATTTCCCTGAAAAAAGAACATGGATATATTTTTGTCAAACTGAAACAAGCTATTGACTCTCTGTAGTTATCTATGTTTTTGTAACTTGATTGTGCATTCACGTTCTAATCTGTAAAGCATGTACAAAATTCACTAAGCAATGTAAATAGTTAATATAGCGGAAAATTGATTCTACACTCTCGAGTCTTCACACTTCTGCTTCACTGTGCAAATGATGAGCTCACAAGTCACGTGATAGGACCCTTACACAACATTATTCTTTAATGGGGAACAAAATGTAAGATTCCAAAGAAGTAGCCAAAGATCACTGTGGCATCAGTGTCATGCAGATTTTATCAAATGGCTATGTCTTTACATTCAAACCAGATTTACTTTATGCAATAACATACAAGTTTATCATTTACTTTTATATAAATACGTATATTTTTTGATCATCTTATTAATTGAAAACTTTCATAAACAAGAAGACTGAAAGGTAAAACACTAAATGCACTTGTTCAAGACTTTCTAGTTATTGCTGGTGTATTTCCATCAATTGTTGATCTTGTACATAATACAGTTAACTGTTTACAGTTAACACTTTTCTTGGTCTAGTATTTTGTCCATCATGTAGAAACAATAATTAAAACTTTGTGTAACATAAGAAAAGCTAAAGGAACTTACAATGTGGTCTCTGGTTCTGAAGTCTGACTGAACTGTGCGCTGCCGTTGGACTGCAGAGGACCAGAGGAAACCTCTTCACTTTTGCTGCTTCCCTGAGTACTGGTCAGGCTCTCATTTCCCTCCATCATACTGGTTGGAGTTTTCTGGAAAGAGCCGGCTGTGCTTGAATCAGTCTGCCACAGAAAGCATGAGCAGCGAGTCCGCAGCTCTTTATAGAAAGTATTTAACCAGAGGGCAGACAGCCACGGACAGCCCAGCAGGTTCTTGAATGCTGTACGAAACTCGGGACTTCTGCAGTAGATGATGGGATTAAGCCCGGAGTTGATGTATCCCAGCCAGTTTAACAGTCTGAAGATCCTCTCTGAGGGGATGCTTTTGTCAAACGCATTGATGATATTGGCAACAAAGAAAGGCAGCCAGCACACAGTGAAGGTCCCCATGATGATCCCCAAAGTCTTGAGGGCCTTGTGCTCTTTTACAACCATTAGCCGTGATGGCCTACGCTTGGAGCCCTTTCTCCGTTCTGTGCTGTTGCAGTTGTTGGACCCGACCCACGGCGATGGTAGGACATTGTTTATGTGGGGGGGAATTTGTATCCGTGCTGTCGGACACTCGTTCTGGAACCGCATTCGATTCTTATCAATTAGCCGAACCTGCCGTGTGGCTATTAGAAAAACTTTAGCATACAAAAATATCATTATGAGAAGAGGAATGTAAAAAGACACAGTGGAAGATATAATAGCGAAGGCCCAGTTAGTCACAAAGTCACAGCATTTTGGGTCATCGTAGCAACTCTTTGTTGCTTCATCGTCATCAACATCACGCCAAAACCCTTTCATAATCGGTACAAAAGAGATTAAGGCGGACACAACCCAAACTAAACAAACTATTAATCTTGATCGCCGCTTATTGAGAAGAACCTTGTGTCTGAGTGGCCTCGTAATGGCTGTGTACCGATCCACTGCTATGACACAGAGAGTTTCTATGCTGGCTGTCACACACAGCACATCCACAGAAGTCCACACATCGCAAAATGTTTCACTGAGCAGCCAGTTTCCCGTCACCACTATGGAAGCCCCCAAAGGCACCACCAGGACCCCCATAATGAGGTCGGCACACGCCAGTGACATGATAAAAATGTTTGTGGTCGTCTGAAGCTGTGAAGTTCGAGTTATGGCGATGATGACCAGCAGGTTTCCAACCACTATTGTCAGTACGATGGGGACCAGTATGACAAGGCTCCAGAGTCCCAGCGCAGGGTGGTAGGGAGCTGTTGAGTTTGTTTTATTTAAACCGCTCAGGTAGCCTTCCATTATTTACCCACTCAACTCAGTAAGAAGAAGTTGAAGGTGTGTTTTTCAAGTCCAAGGTTGCATAAACAGAATCTAGTTTTCTAACAAGCATCATTAATTTGCTTTTATATAAAGTTCCCTCACCAAATAATCATTCTTTTTGCCTACATTTCAAACTCTGGGAAGCTAATGTTGCTGTGATCAAAAGGCAAAAGTTTCATTCCATGTTTCCAAAGTCGTGATTGTTTCAGGAAGTCCTTCTGGTGTAGGCAACAGCAACATGTTCACCCCAAAAAAAAAAGGATCCAAACTATCCACAAAGCCGAAACAGTATTAGTTCACAGAGTTGCAAAACTTTCAAAAATCCTGGAAACGATAAGTTAAAAAAAAAAAAAGTTTGCGCGAGTAAAACCCAGCCATGTCCATGTAAATACATCCACTGGGATTAGAGTAGTTTGCATTGTTTTCATTGAGTCCTGCAGGAGCCCCACAATGCCACAGTTGGGCTGTTGAAGATCAAGCAACAGTGACGCTGCTGCAAGAACCACCAGAGAGCACCAGTGTGGTCTCTCTTTCTCTCTCTCTCTCTCTCTCTCTCTCTCGCTCTCTCTGTTCAGGTTGTCCAAGATTGTATTGGCTCTCATCACACCCTGACTGAAGGCAGAGGGGTGGAGTTAAAAATATGTGCCTCGGTGGAGAAGCCATGAAGGGATCAGTAGCCTTATAGAGCCACAAAAACAAAAGAACAATCGCACACACACACACACACACACACACACACACACACACACACACACACACACACACACACACACACACACATGCACACAAATCAAGTGTATTGAATTATAGGCAGAGATCTGATCTTTGTGACACTTACTTTGCTTTTCTTGTAAGGTTCGACACATGTAATGACCATAATTGTTATTTAATGTCACTGTTGTTGCATTAAGTGTCACAGCCACGCTAAACTTGTTAACCCATTAACTTTGTCAGTCACCTGACTGTTTTAACAATGGAACAAGGTTTCCCTACTACTGGCTTTTGTCCCCACTTTCAAATAATTCTGGACTCACTTACTTAAACACCATCTGTCCAGTAAACACAAACTCATTGGCAAGTTTGGCTTTTTAACTGTGATAATAGCTAATGAGCGTCACATAAATATTACCCGTCCAAGGGTTTCCAAAGGTTTATTTATGATACAGTTTGTGGTCTACTTTGCAGACCACAAGGCACGAGGCACCCCCAACTGTACAGAACAGGAAATAAATGCCCTTCCTTTGACTCAAAACAGTGAAAGAAAATAATAGATCGCTATCTCAATGTTACTCAAGCTGGGGCACTGAAGAAGAACAATCAGGCAAATGCCTTGCATGCGATTAACTTCAGATATTCAGCGCTGGGCTCTCTTGTCACCGGGCAGTTCCTTCTTTGGTCTGAACAACTCGACAACTGCAGCTGTGATTACTCTGCTTTTGTTCTCACCTTACTTTAACTTTATAACAAGTTAAACAAGGGAATACTTGTTGGCAGTCATAAACCTTTCATGATGAATTAATGATGATATTTCTATTTTGATTTATTCATATGTCAGGATTTTTTATTTTATACAACTACTTTTCATTTTTTCACATCAACAAAAAACTATCAAACAAATCTGAAGCTAGGCATGGCTTTTTGGAGCTTTATAGTGAGTTTAAGCTTCCTTGCCAACAACGTTGTTATTTTTGTTCTCTCTTATCCCTCTCAAGCATCTTTTTCATCCTATGCAATGCACACATGCTCAGCACAAACAGAAGACCAACAGTTAACATCTAGCTGGTTAACATGATTCAGCTAAACAAGACAGATATTTACTAAAAAAGACCGAAAAGAGACCTTGAATAAAGTAAATATCGGTCTTACATTCATCATGTGGCATAAAATGTCCCTTTAGATCAATGTTTCCCTAATTGTTTCTGCCGGGCCCCCCTTTTGCAGATGGAATTATTTTCAAGCCCACACAACCCTCACCATACACGTCAACACATTAACATACATCTATGTGCGCTGATCACACTGTCAGTCACGCCCTTTTATTTTTTATTTATTTCAAACATTGTCTATAAAAGTGACTAATGTTTTACTTCCAGTCCTCAAATTAGGAAAAAACCTTCACACATCCACTTCACAAGACAGGTGCATAGGAGAGCAATGTGTCCATCAAAATCTTAAAGATATAACCACCAATATGTCTATAAGTGCGCTCCTTTCCCGAAGCCTAGCGTTATCTTCGCCAACGTCATTTACCTTGAGCAGTTTATTTCCCCATAAAATTAGCCAAGCAGACATGTGATGTTAATAAAATGCCTATTACCAACAGACTATTTATTCACTCACCTCAATATTCAAAGGACTTGCAGCTGCTGTGACTGTCCTCCTGTTGTTGGCAGGTCCGCTGTAAAGCTGTGCAACCCGGAGCTGCTACTGCAGTCGGGGCAGAAACTGTCGACCCATCCTGACCACTATCTAATAAATATTCTAAAAACTAAATGCTAAATCAAAAAACTAACTAAGTTTCCTAAAAGTCACTGTGCTAAACTACGAGCTAAAGCTAACCTTCAATTAAAGCTAAGCCACTAGCTAATATTGATAAGATCTAACAACAAATCTACTGCCTACAACCTCCAACTAACTTTGTAAATACTATAAACTCACAACTCTACAATCTACATTAAATTAATCTATACTAACAGCACAATCCAACTACTAAACCACTAAGCTATTGATCTCTCAATCCACTTGACTCCGGACAGACTTTTTCAACCAGGGCAGTCACTATGCACATTTCTAACACAATATTTAGAATTTCAATACATTGTACTCAAATGTCGAGATTTGGACTTGAATTGATCCATAACACTACTTAATACTCACATACAGAGGTTTATAGTTGAAAAAAGTGGTTTTGAGGTTATTCTTTAAGTCTTTTTTCTTAAGCCTCTTAGTGGCTGAAAATTATTTCATATTTGATGGATAAAATATAGTATTTCAAAATCTTTTGGAAACTTCTGTCAACATGTAATTATTTTAACACTTCAGAGGAGAGGAACTTGACAGTCACACAATGTCTCCCTTCCTTTCCGCCTCCTTGGTATTAAGATTTTTTTGTTTTCTGTCTGCACCACTTTGTCACTCATCGGACAGGAAGTTATGGAGCTCTGAGTGCATTTACAGAAGAGAAATAACGGGTAAAAGCAAAGCACAGGCGTCTTTTAAAAGTTGATGACCAAGAGGCCCCATCTGACGGCATTTCTGCTGATGAAGGTCACTGGGGTGCAGCTGACAGCTTGATGGATGGTCATTTATCTTTGCGTGAGAAGATGCCATTGGTGGATCTGGACCTGGTCCTAGACTAGTCAAGCATGACAGCTTGCACAAGCTGGCTTGTTGATAGTGGAATCAACTCTGGCAGCTTTCTCACCATCACAAAAAATCTTGCAATGGTAACATGACGGTTCTGTGCATGTTGTGTTATTTGCATGAAAAACTTTTAGAATCACTTCGTTGGACTGACAAAAAATACACATCATGTTGTGTAATTTACCCATTTAGATTACATAAGTGAAGTGTGAACAATACATCAGTGATATGTGTTTTACTATGTTCAAATCATTGATAAACACCATCCTCTAGTGCAGCAGTTCCCAACCTATTTTGCCTGCTTACAAACTATTTAGAGGTAGATTTTATGTAACTCTAACAAGAAGACAGGAAGAGATAAAAGTGCATATGTGACCCTGTTACACCATATTTGCGTGAAATAATTTGCAACTTTGGACAAACATTTGGCAGCAACTGCACACTCCCTTGGCCGAAAATACCCAGATTTAAAATCTGCAATACAGTCAGGGATTTGTAAAGTTCATGTTGGAAGGCTATAAATCATCCAAGCAGTCATAAGACTTTAAAAAGCCTGTTTATTACACATTTACATCCCACATAAAGTGTATCCTGGGAATGTTTCCCTCCTCTCCATAGAAACCCTAAAGGAGATCTGTTCCAATCAGCATGCATTCATAAAACGGCTGGTATTTCCCTGTTAACAGCAGATAGGAAAGGCCTGATCCATGGTAGCCATCTGGACTTTACAGGATTAAATTTCACTTCACATTGCAACCCATCTGGCCCATGCCAACACTCCCATGTTTGGAAAAATCCACACAGTCATTCTTCCACTTGATAGAGCCTAAGGGTGTTAATCTTGCCTTTTTCAGAGTTTGCGCATTATAATTTCTTAAATGTGAGAAGTGGATTTATTTTACTGAGTAGATCGATAAGACAATTTTTGGGTCTTCTGATGTGCTGTCAAGTACCTTTCCAGGAGGAGACGAGATATTTAATGGGCTTATCTTAACACACATAAGGGAGTTAGTGGTAGGGTTGCAAACTCATAAAGGGATCAACTGTTCCTGTTTTAATCCGTTCGTCTTATCTGTGTCAGTTTTACGATACTAAATGTTTAAACACTCTAAATGCAGATTAAATCACATAATGATTGTATTTGGAAATCTTTACATACCACATATAAACTGAATTTTTAGTTGTTGTGAATTTCTTGTACATCAAATGTTTTGAAATGCCTCCTGAGAGTTTGTTTTGTAGCATTTTTTTACTTTTTACTTTCTCACAGGAAACTCCCCATTAGCTGGAGTGGCTAATGATGACTTGAGGGTGTGGCTGAAAGTCCACAACAGCACCTCCAAGACCCAGCACAAAAACTCTGGTGGGATTTATTTGACAGAATAAAATACCATATATGTATAATAAAATTTACAGAATGAAAAGAAAATGAATGATAGAAGTGAAAGTTGACCTGAGAACATTTCTTGCTTGTGTTTGCATCCTGTGGGGGTTAAAGCTCAGAAGCAGTTCGTGTGCCAGCATAATATTAAGTACGAGACCATGTGTGGAGGTGAGGGCGATGTATCGAATGAGCAGTTCAGTCTTATACAACTATCATGTCGTGAGTAAATTACACTCCTTATTCTGTGAGTGGAAACACATGCTGGTATTCTGTGGAGTTTCTACTGGTGGCTGCGCACAGTAAACACTGTGTAGCCATAGTGGAAGGCATTAACGTTCCTCTGTACACTTTAAGGAGAGACCTCTGAATAATTGTCAAGCTATTTCTGGTGCAATATAAGGTATTACATTCTGAATATAAAAATGAATGGATAGAGATTAAATGTTTTCATTCATTTTCAATGGTGACCTCAGCTTTTGCATAATTAGAGCTTGAAACCTCCTGCTTCTTTTTATATTTGACAAGTTAAAAAACAGAATTTGCATCCTTACAATGAAGAGTTTTATTTTGTTTTTGAAGATGAATATGCTTAAAATATTGTTAGTTCTCATCTATCTTCTATCCAATCAAGTTTAGCTAAAACCCCCTTGAACATACTAAACCTTAACTTTATCTTCTTTTACTTTTATATTATAAAAAAATGTGGTAATGCAGGCTAGTGAGGCAGGCTAGCTAGCTGTCTGCTACTTATTCAAC